TAGAATACAATCCGCCTTCATGATTTGGTATTAGTAGTTTCACTTGTCAAAGTCTTGATTTTGAGATAGTATTTTGCATTTGCTTAATTCAAGAGAGTGTTTTGGATTTGATTAAATTGAGGATGTATTTTTGTTTGAATTATTGTTAGCCCAAGTCAAAGAATGTTAGAAAATATCTCTCATTTATGGTCTAACGATAATTACATTAGGTTAAAATTATCCACAATTTAAGTGAGTCAATTATCTAATATTAAGATAAAGATTGTTGATCGCCCCAACTCTCTCTTAAAGGTCACTACTTATGCTGGGTTAGAATAAAGGAAAAAAACATAATAAGGATAGGATATAAGGTAACCGTCCCAGCTCTTGCTTATTCTCCATAAGGAATCATCCCATCAATCTTGGAGGGGAAAAGAGGTGAAGATTGATCCACCCCTTCAAAGATCAGAACAAGAAGCCGTTTTCTTTTATTGCTAGATCATGGAAGGTACGTTTACATCTACTATTTTATTTTTGTTTTTCAGTAATCAAGAACAACGATCCAAAAAAGATTTACATGTTTTTTAGATAAATATGTAAATCTATAGCTTATTTTTACTTAAGGGACATGCATAGTGAGGAGAAAAGCCATGAAAGCACAAATTCAGCGCATTTTTGTTGTGTGTGGGTAAAGAAAGCCTGCCAAAAGTTATATGCTTTTCGTCAGTTCAATGTACCCATACCTTAGGTTACTTCCAAAAACACTTTCTCTTTTTCGAGTACGTACACTTGCGTACTCATCTTGGGTATTCTCTGAAGGAAAACATCAGGAACCCTAGATGCAAAGAAGGCCATTGTTACTTTCTCATGATCCAACCGGACCATTCTAACCAGTCTGACAAAAAGTGGCTTTGCCTTAGGTGGAGAGCACCGATGAAATTCGACTACGCGAGCCATGAGTTCGGTGCCCAACCATGCGCGAAGGACAATCAAAACTTGCAGGATTCGACGTCAGCGAGCAATTGGATAATGGGGGGCAACATGATTGAGAGTAAAAAGTGAGAATGTGATCCACATAAGCTAGAAGTGAAGAAAGAGGATAGTAGGGTACATTGTTTTAAGGTGCACTAGCCCAAGTTTTCCCATAAGAGAAATATGGGGGCCCTTCTTTTGAAAAAAACACACAATATGGGGTTCATTGATGAGCTAATAGGTACAAAGATCGGCGCATGCGGCGAGCATCAACCTTCAGCTGTGGGGTAGGGTAAAAAAGTTTTTGAGGAGCTAGGGCAACCATAGGATTCACATTCTTTAGGTGAATCCAACGGAGGAGTTGAGAGACAACCTAGGGTAATCTCTTTTATTTGATTCCAAATGGTTCATTAGGGTAAGAATCTCCTTTCAATGCCTTCTAAACTTTTCATGATTAACATTTGCTAGAATGGGATTCTCAATTCTTATTTGGTCTTTTGACAAGTAATAAGGTGCTCTACCTATGTCCATGTTTATCATCAAAGAAGCCCATTATTCTCCAAATGACATACCCATCCCTTTATAGGATTGAGGTGATTGCTATTTGCACCCATTCTTCTTGCCATCTCCACCCATAGTGTTGGCAAGGGACCAATTCGACTTGTCCAGATGACACGAGATGTGTCGTCTGGATCAGTTTGGGCTAGACAACACGTATCGTGTTGTTCAAACCTTATATGATCCAGACACACTGAGTGGTTTAGAGTCATTTTGGCCCAGACGATACGATTTGAGTTGTTTAGACCTTATATGACCCATACACCGTATTCGGGCATTGGGTGGTCTAGACAACACACATCACGTCGTAGTGGCCAAATTCACTTTGATGACACGAATAGTGTCGTCTGTGGCCCAGTCTTAAAAAACTTGACTTAGGCCATAAATATGGCCCGAGGGCCAGACTTGGGTTGGGGCCGGCCAGGCCCGGGCTTGTGTCGTATCACCGAAGAGATGATGGGGCTGGCTAGAATTCCACATACAGTTTTGGGTGGGTCTAGTAAAAGAGTTAGGTGCCTAGAGCAATCTCCCAATACTTATTTGAGTGTGGCTTTAGTCTTGTTATCTATTTTTTTGCTACTAAATTTCATGATACGTAAGCAAAGCATGACCCAATGAAATATCTTTTGGTTGTGGGGTCATGTCACGTACATGGCATTGTATTCGTTATCAAAGGGAGAGATGATTCTTGTTAGGGTAGAGAAGGGTTCTGCTTTTTTAATTTGTGCAAAGGTGTTTGTCTCTCTGTCTAGAATAATTCCCCAAATATCACACCAAATATACTGTAGACAAATTTTTTGCTCTTCGAATTTAACTTCTAATCCATTGTAAGTTGCCACATTTCACCTCTCTCTCTCACACACATACAAACGCTACAAATAATTACTATAAGATATACTCTCTCTCAGACACAAACAATCAAACAATTACTATAAGATATATACTTCCTCACTGACACACACGATTGCTATAAGAACACTCTCTCTCTCTCCCTCTCCCTTTCTCTAATTGTTTTAACAACATTCTCTCTCTTCTCTTGCACGTATGAGCACACACAACTACTGTCGTCACTAACACACACACACACACACAATTGCATAAGAACATTATCTCTCCCTCTCTCTCACACACACATGCACACAAGAAAAAAAAAAAGGAAAATTTTTATATAAGGTTGAGGCCCTAAATAGTCAAATTAAAGCGTCTGTCAAAAATTCACTAAAACAAGTTATTTCGATGTCAAAAATCTTCAAACCAATCATCTCAACCTCAAGATGTATACACCTTCGAAAAACACTAACAATTTAAAAAACTGGTAGGGGCATGTATCCCTAAGTACGGGAAGTAGCGGTTATCATTTGGGCTGTCAATTTTCAATATTTCTAATTGTTTTTAGATTTGCTCGATCTACATTATATTTGAAGCTTTAAATTTTATAATTAGAGATGAAAATAAATTTTTAATTTATCAGAGTTTTGCTACTGAAAAATCATCTTTCGACACTATTTCAAAGTAAGTTAGAGCCTCAACCTTATACAAACTACACCCAAAAAAAAAAAAAAAAAAAAACAACATACATACAAACACAAGGTTTTTGACAGCCAGAGTAATCCTTTTTAATCTGTCTCTATTAATGCATGAGCAGTCATTATTATTGGGGCACACCTCCTTTGTCCCCTTTCTCTAGGTCGCTTTCCCTCCTAGACAGACACATCATAGCTCCTTGGAGCAGAAAAAAACTACTCAAACAAATTACCCATGGAATATTGTGCCAAATCTGCACATTATTGTTAAGAGGACAACTTCAAATTCATGTCTTATTATATTGTGCTCTTTCAACCTGGTCCAAAATTTGAAACATAATATTCCAAGTTTCCAACAAAGAGGTCAAGTACAATCTTATCCAGCCACAATAAATTCAAAAAAGGGAATATACAGACCAAATGAAACCATAGTCCATGAAAACAAAAAATGTACTTATGATATCTTTCTCTGTCTTCTCTCTCTCTCACTAAAAATGTACTTTCACTCTCCCAATCTCTCTCTCTCTCACAAACCAACGATGTGCTTATGCTCTCTCTGTTAAAATAAAAAATGAACTTATATTCTCTCTCTTATCTATAGCTCCATGTAGAGATGGGAATTTTTCCGATCGGGTCTGGATCCACTCAGATTCGAATCTGGATTCGAAAACTATAAATAAGATCTGGATCCAATTTAGATCTGAAAACTATACTTGGGATCCAGATCAGGTATTCTAAAAGTTTACAAAATATATATATTATATATGGAAAAAGTTTATATAAGTTTGCAACCTTAAAATGTACTACAGATACACCTCAAAAATCCATCGAAAAATATTGTTTTAATATTTTTCAACCCTCTAATTGAGTATCTCGACATCAAGATGCATGAATATATATATATATATATATATATATATAAAAGAATTTTGAGTCCAAAAAACAATGCATCTTGCAACATATTATCTAGACCGTTTATTTTCAAGATTTTCATATGTTTATACATCGACTTGATTTTAACCATTTTTTAAGTTTAAAAATTTATAATTAGATATGAAAAATAGATTTTTAGATAATCGTCATAATTTTTTATACTAAAATTGCATGTTATGATAAAATTTGGAGATGCTCCTTAATTGGATTTTTTAAGGATGCAACTTTTATAGAAACTGCACCCATTATATATATAAATTAATAAAATGTTATGTTGGGATGCTGACATAATTGAGCATTTTAGAGTTGTACTCAACAAATTTTAGACAGTTATATACCTTTGTATTGTAATATAATTTTTTTAGTAAGGGTATTTTGATCATTATGAAGGGTGTGATCATCTACATAGTGTGTGACAGTACCTACATGGAACATTAAATTGTTCAATTCTGCTCTATGTGGGTGATGTCGTACCTCTCTTACTGACAAAAAATACCCTTAATAAAAAAAAATATTGTATTACAAAACAAAAGGTATATAAATGTTTAAAATTCATTGAGTACAAATATAAAATGCTCTACAATATATAATATGAGCACCCCAACATAACCCCTTAATAAAATATATAACTATATAAAATGATATATGCTATTTAATAAATTCGATCGGATACACTTGTACTCAGATCCAATCTGCAGTATTATTTGGATCTAAATTTTAGTTCTGAATCTAAATTTTGGGATCCATACCCGAAGCCGAACAGGATCCGTTATTCGGGTTTGAATCCAAATCGAATAAATTCTCAGCCGAAGCTCGATGTATGTGTTAGAGAAGGAGGGATAGCTACCTAGAGAGAGAGAGAGAGAGAGAGTTCTTACCCTAGAGAGAGAAAGAAATCTCCTATACTAGAGAGAGAAATCTCTTATGGAATGCCACTAAGGACAAGAAAGTAAGAGGCAAAAGGAAAAAAACAATTGTTTATTGGATAAAAGTCGTGTGTGGAGCACATATCGACCTCCCTTCAAATTCCCTTTTCTATCAAATTTCCATCTACAAATCACCCCAATCCACACAATCTCCACCCCCATCATGCATAAGTTAGGCATATTGGTTGGATATTTTTGCATTCTCTCTCTTGTAACTTAGAGTGCTCCGCCATGCTCACTTTCTCTCTCTATAAATACATAGTAGAATGAACGCATGTGAAACAGGGGTAGAGAGAGAAAAGGGCATAATGGATGGGAAGAAGCTTGAGTACAAGGGAGAGAAGGCCTTGGAAGAGGTGGAGAAGCTAACCATGAATGCTGGAGAGATCCAGGATCAAATATTGGAGGAGATTTTAAGGAGGAATTGGAGGACTGAATACTTGTATGAGTATTTGAGAGGGTCGAGAAATAAAGAAGAGTTCAAGAGGAGGGTACCTGTGGTTAGTTATGATGATATAAAGCCTCTCATTCAAAGGATTGCGAATGGAGAGCATTACTCCCTTATTTCTGGAGACCCCATCACTGAATTGTTAACTAGGTTCTGCCTTTCGGTCCCCCCTTTCTCTATCACTCACACACTCTCTCTCTCTCACACATACACTTGCTCCATCTCTCTCTCACACACACATACTTGCTCACCAGTCGATGGATCTCTCTCTCTCTCTCTCACACACACACACACAAAGAGATGCTAGCTATTTCATGGAAAACACTCTTTCTTTCACCCGTGCACGCACTTGCTCACTAGTTAATAGATCTCTCTCACACACACACGCACACGCTTACGCTTGCTCACTAGTGAATGGATCTCTTTCTCTCTCACACACACATACACTTGCTCACTAGTTAATGGATCTCTTTCTCACACGCACACACAAAAAGAAATGAAATGATAGCTAGTTCATGGAAAACTCTCTCTCTCACACACACACAGACAGAGAATGCTGGCTGGCTAGTTCATGGAATTCTCTCTCTCCTCGTTCACAAGTTAGATTTTCTCATACACACAAACATGCGCACCAAAAAAAAAATTCACTAGGTGACGCCACATGTGCATATATCTTTTTTTATAGAAGTGGCAGTAGCGACTTCATTAAGGCAATGAAGTGATACAAATAAATAAAACAAAACAAAAACTCGTGTGCATGCAGCTTCTGGTGTTTCCACGAATTTGTGTTTACTTGAAAGTTAAGTTGCAGAAGATTGCCATGAGCGTCTTGGGAATAGGGGTGGCAATAGGCGGGGCTGACCAGGCCCTAAAACAATAGGGCCTAGGCTGCAAACTGTGGCCCGAAGGCAAGGTTAGGGTTTATGCCAGCTTGGCCCGGCCATATTTTTCCTATGGGGATAAGGCCCGAGTCAGGCTAGGCTAGCCAAACCCAAGGCTGGCCTGGCTTGCCGGTTGCCACCCTTATCTTCGTAAAACAATCATCAAAGAATTCGCCACTATGGTAGAGGTGGCAATGAGCAAAGAAAGCTCGTTGTAGCTAGGTTAAACTATTGACTTAGAGCCAAGCACGAAGCTAGGTTAAACTATTGACTTAGAGCCAAGCACTCGTAAACTCGTGCTTTTTTTTTTTTTGCAAAGTCCTTGATGAAGAAACAAGTACAAGGCACGGTAGTTGCGAAGAAAAGGGAGTGTGCTAGTGCACAGTCCGGCTATTGAGCCAATGAATACACGTAGGCTTTCGAGCCTGTGCTTGCTACTTTTTTTTTCTCTTACGAAGCCCTCTGAAACGAGTGTTTTGATGTTACAAGTCCCAACCAATTTGATGTGTAGCCTATATCAAGCAAGCCAATGGTAGCAAGGTCGAACAATTGACTTGAAACAAAGTGCTCTCACACTTGTGCTTTTTTTTTTGTTTTTTTGTAAAGCGCTTGTTGAAGAAACAAAAAAAACTAAAGGGCCGCACTAGTTGCGAAGAAAAAATAGAGTATGCTAGTGCGCACTCTAGCTTTCTAGCCAATGAATACACGTAGACCTTCGAGCCTACGCTTGTTGCCTTTTTTGCTATTCCGAATCCCTCCAAAACAAGTGCTTTGATATTGCAGCCTATGCGAAACAAACCCGGGGTAGCAAAGTCAAAGTGATTGTTGAAGAGGGCTTGCTTGCAATTTGATGTGTAGCCTATGCGATGTAAGCCCGTTGTAACAAGGTCAAAGCAACTGTTGGGGGGGGGGGGGGATTTTTGCTCTCGCAAAGCTCTCTTAAACATGAGCGTTGTTTCACTATCTAAGTACTCTCAAACAAGAGTTTTGCTTCTTGTTAAAAAAAGAAAAGAAAAAAGCCTCCTAAATAATTAGAAGCTTCAAAAGCAAAAAAAAAAAAGCCTCCTATATAATTGGAAGCTTCGTATAAATAAACCATGAGAATGCCGATCGCCACGTCCATTCAAGGCAACCTAGTAAGCTTTAGGGGTGGGGGCCGAACCTGAAGAAAATGATACCCTGACCTAAATAGTATTCGGGACCAAGATTTGGAATCAAATCCGACCCGCCCAGTCTAACTTTTAAACCTATACCCAAACCCGAATCGGGTCTATCCCTTATGTCTTGGGTTGGATCGGGGTCCATTCCAACCCTATTTGAGCTCTCTCCAAAATAAAGGGACTATCCGTTTCAAAAAATACCCCCCTTTGGCTTCATTTCCTGGATATAAGGTGGTCAAATTAGGTCCAAGCATATTACTCGATTCATCTTAATGTTTACGCAATCACAAGAAAGCCATGTGATGAAAAGTTATGAATTTTTACAGCTCGGGAACTTCGGGTGGAGAGTCGAAGCTGATGCCATCGATAGCTGAGGATATAGACAGGAGGACATATCTCTACAACCTTCTCATGCCCATCATGAACAAGTAAGGGGGCATAATTGCCATTTTTAGTGATTTAGGGCAATATTGTAAAAATCAAGTAAATGTGAAATTGCAATTATTTTCTCTATGAGAGCATACTATTCTCCCGTGGGAATATATTTACTCTCTTGGGCAGAATACCTAGGAGAGTTTTTCTTTATTCTTTTTTTAATCTAAAATTTTGGAAATCTCCTATGAATCATTAGATGATCTTTTCAAAACAAAATTTAAATTTTTAGTTTTTTAGCACTTAGATCTCAACCTCGAAATTTTTTAGGGCTAGCAACGTGTCGGGTCAGGTCTAGGTCGACCTGAACCCGACCTGATTAAGTTTTTACATGGACCTGAAACTATCGAAAATAAAAATAAAAATTCATGTACTGTATAATTCTATTTATATAGTTTTTTTATATTTCTTTATACCTAATTGGGTCAACCTTGACTTGAACTCGACGCGACCTAAGAGGGTCCATGCTAGACCCTGACCTGGACCTAGACTTGACCCAGATAAGGTCTAAGCATTTGGACAGAGACCCGACCCGTTAGGTCCAAAACATGGAACTAGACCTGGCTCCAATTCGGGGCGAAGCACACCTTGGCCGACCTGACCCGATTGCCACCTGTACATAGTTTGCCGTTATCTATTCAATGAGTAATGATCCTATAGGACCCTCCCCCACTCATGTATGTAGGACTCCAAAGGATCACTATTAAAGTTGATACGGATTTCTAGAAAAGTTATCACATAGGTATGAGAATTGACTTTCTACATATCTGTGCCAAATTTAATGGTGATCATTTGAGATCCTACACATATGGGTTGGAGAGAGTCCTATAAGACCATTTCTCCTGTTTAATATGCACTATTTTTTTCGAAATACATCATAGAAGGTACGATTTGAATCTTTTTTTTTGTTAAGGTAAGGGTACAGGTTGAAGATGTTATATTTTTAGAATTTGGGGTCCTAAAATTTTCTCTAGATTGCGTTTTAATCTAGGAAGCGATATGCTCCCGTGAGAGCAGGAAATATTTTGGCTTTCCATCTTATTATATCCGCTCTTTAGGGCACGAACATTACAAGTCAACCGTTGCCTTCAAAATACATAGTGTTCACCTTAGGTGATGCCCTTAAAATTTTGTACAATTAAGATGCACTTCAAAAATCCATTAAAAAAAAAAAATTGGTCGTTTTGGTTTTGGATTACCATCAAATTGATCATCTCAACATTAAGATTCATTTATATGGAAAAAAAATAAAATTTAAAATAGTACATCTTGCAATACATTCTCTAGATCTTCAAGATTTTCCTGCATTTATAGATATGCTTGATTTGAACCATTTTGAAAGTTCAAAATTTTATAATTAGAAATGAAAATATATTCTTAGCCAGCCAGAATTTTTCGGAACTAAAAATTGCATCATATGAGAAAGCTCCCCCAAAAGCCTCCCAAACCCAGACCGGTTTCTGAAATAGCCGCTTCACCCTGCCAAGCTGGCTTTTAAAACATTGATTAATTGGATGGAGTTGATATCATTTATCAGTAGTTAAAAAATATTTATTTTTTATCTTTTTCACGATGTAACATCCTCTTGAGTACATCATTAGCATTACGGGAATCATTTGTGTTCTTATAGATGATCACCTAAATTTAACTTGCTTTAAAGCAAAACAAAGGGAAAGTGTTCTATGGCCAGCAAGGCTGGCACCGGGCCCTGACAGCCGCTCAAGCCCTGCCACGGTCAATAGAGGCTTTGCCCAAGCCGGACCCAGCCTGAATTGGGCTGAAAAGGGCCCTGGCCAAAGTCCAGTCCTCCTTAGCATGTCATATGAATCATGTCATATTTTTACATACTCCTTAGCATGGATTTGCTCAATCAAGATCAGTCCTCCCTAGAAAGAATACTGTAAAGGGTTAGCGTACTTTGGTGCATTAAAGGAGAAGACCATTTATCTTCAACTCAAATGATCATAACACAATTATTTATTACCAACTGGAAGATAATACAGAGTTTTAACTACAACCATTCTTTGTAGTACAAACTTTCTTTAGCTCTCATATGGAAAGAACATGATCTCAAGTTTGCCAACACTGACCTCCACAAACACCACAGGCATGTCTCAGGCCTTGACATGGGCAAGGCAATGTACCTCTACTTTGTGAAGGCAGAGACGTCGACACCATCCGGGCTTCCTGCTAGGCCAGTCCTCACTAGCTACTACAAGAGTGAGCACTTCAGACACCGCCCCTTCGACCCCTATAACAACCTCACTAGCCCAGATAAGACCATCCTATGTCAAGAAATCTCCCAAAGCATGTACTGCCAACTTTTATGCGGTCTCATCTTTAGACAAAAGGTCTTACGCTTAGGAGCTGTCTTTGCCTCTGCTTTTTTGAGAGCAATTAACTTCTTAGAACAAAACTGGCAACGAATGTGTGTAGACATAGAGACTGGCAATCTCGATCCCTTGATCACTGATCCCGGATGCTTAGAAGCCATGTCGAGGGTTTTAAGGCCGGATCCCCAGCTTTCCACTGAGATTTCTAGGCTCTGCGAAAGAGAGTGCTGGGGTGGCATACTATGTGAGTTATGGCCAAAGGCTAAGTACATAGAGGTTATAGTGACTGGGTCTATGTCACAATATATACCAGCCTTGAATTACTATAGTGGGGGTAGGCTTCCATTGGTTAGTACTATGTATGCTTCTTCGGAGAGTTATTTTGGTGTGAATTTGGAGCCATTGTGTGAGCCTGCAAGTGTGGCTTACACTCTTTTGCCAAACATGGCTTACTTTGAGTTTGCACCCATTGCGAAGGGGGAGGGGACGGTGTCGGAGGAGCCAGTGAGCCTTGTCGATGTGGAAGTGGGCCGCTTTTATGAGCTCATTGTCACCAATTTTGCAGGTCTGTTAAGTTATTTTGTTCTCTCTCTCTGTCTCTGACTCAGTGCCTGCTCTCTTTCTCTAACTGACTCGATGCATGATTCTCCCTCAGGTTTATACAGGTACCGCATAGGCGATGTGGTCCAGGTTACAGGATTCCACAACCAAGCACCGCAATTCCGCTTTATTTGCCGGAGGGACGTCATCCTCAGCATCGACACTGATAAGACCACCGAAGAGGACCTCCACCGCGCTGTGGCCTCCGCGAAGAAGCTTTTAGAACCCTCGAGGCTCTTCCTCGTGGAGTACACATCATATGCTGACACATCATCCATCCCTGGCCACTATGTCCTCTTCTGGGAGATCGGCCCCGCCACCTCAGTACGCCTGTCCCCACACAATTCAGTAATGGAGGCATGTTGTGCTAACATGGAGCAATCACTGGGTGATGTGTACAGAAGGTGTAGGAGCACCGATAAGTCCGTGGGACCCCTTGAGATACGCCTGGTCTGCCCCGGCACCTTCGATGCACTTATGGACCTATCTGTTAGCAATGGCGGTTCAGTTAACCAGTATAAGACTCCCAGGGGGATTCGGTCTGGCTTGGCCCTCGAGTTACTGAACTCAAGGGTCACCTCGAATTTCCTTAGCCCAAGAGATCCAATGTGGATGGTTTAGATTGAATAAGATGCAATCTTTCTGGAAGGGTAACCTTGTTAAGGCTGATCATAATTGTCCATCAATCACTTATAAATTTTGTAACCTGAGTTAACCAACTCGGTTGATGGAGAAAGCTTCACTTAATTACTCTTGAAATAACTCATCCTCTTAATATGGTACCCGTTGCTTTTTTTGTTAACTGCTGCAGCTGTTGCGTAATTACTTTTGCTCTAATTGCATCCTTTTAATACAACACCTTTTACTTAATTACTTTTACTCTAATCATCTACTGTTCCTCCATGCATTGGGCAATACTTCGTTTTACCTTGTGCCACTGTAATCACGAACTTGAAAGGTCTGGTCTTAAATTATTTTTCATGGATGCATTACCTTCTGTGTCAGGAGGTTTAAAGGTTTGAACTCTTGAAGTTTGCCATGATCGCCTACCCTATTTGTTATGGAAAAACTACCAATCAACTGAGCTGTCATTTCTAAACGTTGATTAATGCCCCAAAAATGACTTTACGAAGATTTCATAGGACCCAAAAATTTGCAAACATATTTGGGTTCACATTGAATTCAAGAAAAAACTGAGGGAAAAGCATTGATTTCTTAAATCTATAGATCTAATTGTTGCAAAAATGACGACGACAGTTTTGGCTGGAGCAGGAGCGTTATACTGAGTGGTCCTCCACACAGAATTTTCTCTTTTGCTTTTGTAGATATCCTAAAACAGGTTGTTAGTTGTCTAAACAGGACACAATCAACATACATGTTTTTCAGGTGCAAAACATCTGTTTACATTTTATATATGAATCCTGCCCATATTATTGGCTCTTGACAAGGGCACCAATGATGAAATTTTGTTTCTCACAAAAAAAAAACCCTCGACTTATTTTTACTTGCTTGTGCATTCAAAATGGTTCCCAGGCACAAGTAAAATAGGTCCCAATCATACTCCTTGTTACAGTGACTGATACTGTTGCTTGTCATTGTCATGTCCAGATATCACAAACATTGATTTTGTCATTCTCAAAATTTCTCCTCCGTACAATCGACTCTTCAGGATGAAATGCATAAAACTTACAAAAATAAGTAATGAAATGCATAAAACTATCCCCAAAAAAACTTTTGATGAAACATGTAAAAGAGCCAACCGTCCAAGCAGAAATATCTGAATTGTTCTTCACATATCACCCTAAGTGGCCAAGCCCCTGCAAAATATGTGACCCCTTCAGTAACTCACTACGATGGAGCAGTTCATATGCATCTCATAAGCATGATCCATTTCTTCTCATCGTTTATCTTCATATGATCTCAATGATTTTCAAAGTGTTAAGCCCTTCCAAAATCTCCTCACATAAATAGATATATGTGCCTTGTATGGTAGTGTTGTTGCCCTTGCACCTTAACCACTGAATTATCAATACAAACACCAAGCCCATCTTGTATCCTTAGCCCTCATCATCTATATCATACAACACTTGTGATGTATCAGGCACATAACCCTCGTCCTCCAAATGCATATTGACCCAATTAACAACCTCATACACCTCTTTCCACTGGGGATGCAATCTATCTTCCACCAAGAACTCATGCACCACGCTGTTCACCTCAATTGAGCTACACCCAGGGACCCTCTCGACCCCCATCTCTCTCATCAATTTCCTTAACTTTGCTGCCTCACTCCACCGCCCAGCTGCTGCATATATATTCGACAAGAGCACATAGCAACCACCGTCTCTGGGTCTAAGCTCTACAAGGGGCTTCACTACACTCTCTCCCATCTCCACATCCCCATGAATCTTGCAAGCACCAAGCAAAGCACCCCAAATTACAATGTTTGGAGCCATAGGCATTGATTTGATGAACTCTCTAGCCTCTTCTAGCCTCCCTGATCGGCCTAATAGATCAACCATGCAGCCATAATGCTCAATTTTGGGCGAAATATTAAGCTCTTGAATCATGCGATTGAAGTGCTTACACCCCTCTTCGACTCTCCCAACATGGGTACATGCACATAGGACGCCCACAAAAGAGACCTCATTTGGGATCACATGTGCCTTCTCCATGGCAGCGAAGAGCGATAGAGCATCCTCTCCATGACCATGCAAGGAAAGCCCACTTATCATCGCATTCCAAGTGAAAACATTCTTATGGGGCATTTCTCTAAAAACTCTAAGTGCCATGTCAATGCACCCACATTTCGCATACATATCTACAAGCGAGGTTCCTAAGAAAACATCACACCTAAGCTCGTTTTTGTCAATATAGGCATGAACCCATTTTCCAACATCTAAAGCCCCTGCTGTAGCACATGCCGAGAGCACACTAACCATGGTCACTGAGTCAGGGCCAATGTTGGAAAGTTGCATCTTTTGGAATAAGGCCAAGGCCTCGATCGCTCGCCCACTTTGAGAATAGCCAGAGATCATTGCACTCCAAGAAAATACATCTCTTATTGGCATCTCTTCAAAAATGAATCGAGCCTCTTTCAATAGGCCTAGTTTAGAATAGCCACTAACCATTGCATTCCAAGTTACCACATTTCTGTCAATCATCTCATCGAATATTTTTCTCGCACCCATTACATCACCACAAGAAAAGCATCCACTTATCAATGCATTATATGTAGCAATAGTATTCATGGGCATTTCACCAAACACTTGGTGTGCAGACTTCATGTCACCAAATAAAGAATACATGTGAACTAAGGCATTGTGCAAAAATAGGTCCAATTCTAAGCCAAGCTTTAAGATTAGGCCATGGATAAGCCTACCTTCTTTGTAGGCCAAGACCATGGTGAAAGCCTTGAGCATAAACAAGAGAGAGAAATTGTTGGGGTTGACACCTTGGGCCTTCATTCTTGTGAAGAATTCGATCGCTTTTTCAGGCGATTTTGATAGTACGAAGCCTCTGATCATGGTGGTCCAAGCATAAGCATTTGGGTCATTGATGTGAGAGAAAATGAGAGATGCATAACCCAATTGGTGCTTGGTAACACATGATTCCAAGAGCTTGGTAGAGAGAAAGGTGTTTTGGGCCGCTTGCGTTATGATCATTTGCGCATGTATTTGCTTGAGAGATTTGATGGTTTTGGAGGAATTTAGGAGAGAGAGAAAGTGTGGGGGATTTGGGTGGCGGAGTAGAGAGATGGTCTGACAGAGTTTGGTGGAGAGAGGAGGAGGGGGTGATGGAGGCATGTGAAAGGGCCATGGAAGATGGGTGGAGATGATCAGGTGGCCAATGGAGCCTCATGTTTGGTTGATGCAGCCTTCATCTCTGTCTCAAACGGAGAGCAATAGAGCAATTTTAAGTGGTTCAAACTTCAAACACTAGTTATAAAGCAGTCAGGTGACGTAGATTCCGCCCCTCATCCCCTTAATCAGAGGCCTCTCTCTCTCGCATCAACCAGTAGAGGCCTCTGGCAATATCAGGGGTGCCCATAAACCCGGACCCAAAACGGGACCGATTACTGGACGCGGCCCGACGCAAGTCTGCGTATGGATCCCACAACTCTCTCATCAACTGGTAAAAGCCTCTGACAACAGGGGTGGGGATGAACCTGGACACGACACAAGGTCGATGATTGGACCTGACCTTAGTCGGTTCAAAAATTGGAACCAACGGATCGGATCGAGGTCCAAATATTGGATCCGAACACTATTCAAGTTTATATTCATACGGATTTGGCCCTAAAAAAAACCCAAATAGTGTTATCATTTAAATAATAATTATATATTTTAATTATAATATTTAAATAATACATATATATACTTAAATATATTTAAATATACTTTAATTATAATATTTAAATAATATAATTATAATTAAAATATATAAATTATAATTATAATTATAATATTTAATTTTTTTATTTTTTATTTAAATATATATTTTTATTTTTATTTAAATACATATATACTTAAATATATTTAAATATATATTTTTGGATCAGGTTCAATTGGGTCCAGTCAAGGTCCAATATTTCTTATTTTTCAGATATGGGTCAGGGTCCAGGTTCGCCAAACCTATTGCCAACCATACTCACTCTTTGGCCTCTCGCTCTCTCTGAAAACCTCCTTTTCCAATTCAGTGTCTTCATGGTTCAGTTGCCATCAACTACTAGAGAGACCTCCCTCTCTTTCTAAGAACGTGTTGTAAATTTTAAAAGATGCAGTTTTGAAAACTCATCTTCCATTATTGTAGAACTTTTTTATTTGATAAGAGATAGGCAGTATCTACTTATCTTTTAAGGCGGAAAAGTAAATACCGCCCTTTATTTGGAGACAATGAAACTTGGGATATCAACTTCCCTGGTTTATAGTCGAGGGGATAGAACAATTTCCTTATTTACCCTTCTCTCTCCCTTCGAGGGAGAGAAAAAAGGGAACGCAGGAAGCAGCTCAATTTCCTTATTTACCTTTGATCAATTTCTAGCATTGGTTAATTAAAATCATGGTAGTAGCACCCCACACCTTAGTTACCACGTTGTGATTTTCATTCCCATCAATAACACCATCCCACCCCTTACTACTTTAAAAACTAACTCCTAATCTACTTTAAAAAACCGGTCATAACTACCTCCTAATCTACTTTAAAAAACGGGTCATAACTAACTCCTAACTTACTTTAGAAAACGGGTCATACAAGTCAAACTGAACCAAGTACATTTATTAAAAAAAAAAAGCCAATAATCCCGAATCCAGATTCCCTCTAAACTAGGAGACTGTCTCTCTCTGCGCTCTAAACTAGCAGGCCTCTCTCTACCATCATATTTAAGAAACTGTGAACACCATCATATTTAAGAAACTGTGAACTAAATAGGGATGATTTAACAACAAGAAGCAACCGGCTTTCAAGGAATCCTTCACAAACAAACTTTTATTCTCACTGAATTGGAATAGTTCAGTGTGACATTTCCCACGCCGATGCACCATGACTAGCATCTGTACTTAAACAGAAGAATTATCTCTCTCTCGTTTGGTGGACAAATTAATTCCCAAACTTACGCTTGGCCCCTTCCAAAGTGTTCTTGAGCAGCATTGCAACAGTCATCGGGCCAACTCCTCCAGGCACAGGGGTTAACCAACCAGCCACCCTCTTCGCTTGCTCGAAATCCACATCACCCACTAGCCTATAACCTGACTTTTTAGTAGGATCATCCACTGAATTGGTTCCCACATCAATAACTGCAGCTCCTGGCTTTATCCAGTCTCCCTTGATCTATGAAATATTTTTGACAAATTTACTCAATCAGCAATTGCAATGACCACAATATCAAGAAGATAGAGAAAACAGTAACATTCATAGAAATGTCTGCATGGTGCATGATTGGAAACATGAAGCTGAATTGCCCTTAGATGTGTGGAAAGAACGGTGGAAAGTTTATTTAAGACATTGCATCTTTCTCTAAACCTCAGTTACAAAAAGATTCTTACGAGACCAGTATGGAAGAATAAACAAAACTTGATAAACTTCAACTAAGCCTGTAAGGTGAACCAATCAATTGCAGATCTCTCAAAGAATACCACAGAAGAAAGTACCTAGGAACCCATACTAGTTGGAATCAAGATTCAAGAGCAAGAACTTCAAAGTTTCTGAATGATGCAATGGCAACCAACTTGTATACAACACAGTTGGGCTCTTTTATTTATCAATTTTGCCAAGTGAGATTTTATATAATTCGTTTTGAATTTTTTTTAAAATACCCGGCCGGTTCACCAAAACCGGCCGAAACCAGAATAGGCCAGTGGCCAGTTCCGATCTAACCGGGTCTAACTGGGCGGTTAGAATTTAAACCGCTCGATTTTTCCTACACTGGTCCACACACGAGAGGCACATGTTATCAAGAATTTATGTTGTTCGGACTTTGGCTTTGGCAAACCTTTCTCCCTACAACGACACAATTTTCAACTCGACTAAGTCTTCTTCCTTTTCTATGTTAGCCCACCTATTACTTTCGTGACACGATCATGGGATGATAGGGGTAAGATAAGGGAGCTGGACCCATGGGATGGATCCAATAGGTTTAACATGGGCAATATTATTAGTGGCTGATGAGCATCTCGTTGTGGTAGCTTCAGTGTTTCAAAACAGGTGTGCAGATCATTCACCCACAATTCCATGTAAGATCGCTCGATCACAATATGGATCAAATTTGAATCGGTCCGAGTCAGTGATAAAAAAAATGTTAACAAAATGAAACGAATAATTTAAATACGGGTTTATGGGATGGGAATTTAGATAATCTTAAGAAAACATTAGATAGGCTTAAAAAAGGATAAAAAAATAAACTAAAAATATGACAAGGGGGGATTTTAGGGGTGAACCAAGCCGGGACGGGTACTATACTGAAACCGGTTCGGTCCCGACCTATTGCCATCCAGATCGGCGATCTAGATCAGAAATCGTTGGGTTTTAAATTACTGGGTAGCTTCATTTGAGGCTCTAGATATAAGACAGAGACATAAGAATTTTGGGGGCTCTATGAGAGCAGGGGTCTAGGATTTTCTGGCTCTAAATTAGGTGTAGAAGGAAAAGGTATGGCAGAGTGGGGGATGGGTCGTTCCAGAGATTGCCAACTAGGACTCACAAGACAAGTTTGCTTGGCATGGCCTAACCAGGCCTGCACAGCCCATTTCGACCAAAAATCATGTGGTATCCCGTTTTCTTCAATTGAGGCTTTGCAAATGTTGCAGCAGGTGGAGCTAGTAGATAACTCTTCAGAAAGGGATTTGTCCTAGAGCCATCTTAAGTCTGGAGTTGGCTGTTTTGTTGTTTCTTCGGTTGCTTCATGGATAAAAGGGCTAATGTCACTCTGGTTGAATCAATTGGGGTTGGGGTTCCTCCCATGATGGGTCTGCATGCGACGACTATGTAGCTGGCTAAAAGGTAAAGATATGTTTGTAAAGTGGTATTGACTCCTTGGTTGTGTGCCCAGTGGAGGGATCTAGGGTTGAAAGGTGGGGGGAAGAAGCTTAGATTAGTTGGGGATCGGATTTTGGGCATTAGGGTTTATTCTTTGTTTTTTTGTGGGAGGGGGAATGGGTGTTGCAATTTCTTAAATGGGGAGGCCAGATAGTTTGAAGGATCCAGCATAAATATGGTCGCTTTTTATTGAGGGCCAGTTGGTGAGTAATAGACCCTTGGCAGGGAAATTGATAGCAAGGTGTTTCCTCGAAATTGATCATACATGTGACCTATTTCCAGCCACTCCTTGAGTTGGGGGAAATAGAGCATGCCAAGCTAATCAAACAGTGGGTATCACTTACAGAGCTTGCAATGGTTCACATGTATGATCAATTCCCCCTTCAAACAGTGGGTATCACTATCACCGACCAAGGCCCCCTTCAGCAGAAGCTTTCTTGCAATAGAAATCAATTGGTCTACCTTGATTGCAATGGCGCAACCCATGATAGAGCTAATACATCCTTTATTTGTTGCATTAGCTTCTACAATGTCATCACTAACTCATGTGGAGAAGCAGTCATAAGATTTTTGTGGGAAAGGACTTTTACTCCTGGGTGGAAATAGTGGAAAGGGAAAGTTCTAAAGCTACCAAAGCTAATGCCAGTGCTCTTGGCACTGATTGGGGATCCATCTGACTTGCAATGGTGAGGGAAGGGGGTTGTGGTTCACGGGTTTTGGTATTCTAGGATATAACACCCAGCTTATGTTTTGTGAAAGGAACACAAGATGGGTTCGGCTTGGTGGTGTGGCTGCCCCCAAGGATGCACTAGCTGACATGCCTTGCGGTAACCCATCCCTCAACTGCCCTCAGCATGATATCTGCCAATTGATAGGGTAACATAAAACATGATGAAGGAATATTAGTAACCTAACCTCTACCCCTTCCACAATACAGTTAATATTATACCTTAATTAAATTATCAGCCTCTCTTGAAAAAGGAATATTAGTGAAGGAATTGGATAAATAGCCTTTTATCGTTATTAAGCAATGCATATCACAATACCATTCCCGGTTTTTAGTTTAAAACCAAAAAAAGAAAAGAAAAGAAGTTGACAAAACTATCGCACATTACCATCATTGCCTGCCCAGCAGCGGCTATAACTATATCTGCCTCACGAATGATGCTTTCAGGATTATGAGTTCGAGAGTGAACTATGGTTACAGTTGCATCTGCTTTTAGAAGTAGCAATGCCACTGGTAATCCAACTATGTTGCTTCTACCTACTACTACTGCCTTCTTGTTTTTCACAGAAACACCACTCCTAGATAAAAGTTCGAGGCATCCCTGCAGAGAAATAAAAATTGTGAGAGAGAGGGAAATTACAGTATTAAGAATGAATACTCAATAGCTGGAGTTTGCAAGTTGCCAAATGCCAACATATACAAAAATTGCAATTTCAGTCCACAGATACCTTTGGGGTGCATGGGAGAAACAAAGGTTCCCGACCCTTCATTGCAAGTTTGCCAATGTTCAAAGGGTGAAATCCATCAACATCCTTTTCAATGCTGATTTCACTTAAAACTTTCTCTTCATTGATATGATTTGGCAAGGGAAGCTGGACAAGTATTCCTACCAACAAATCAATTTATCGCAATAATAAGAATATGTCTTTAAAATGGTAGGTCTTGATGTCCTATAGATAAATTGAAACCATGAAGCACTGTCATATTAAAGTTAGAGAGAAAATACAAATCCTACCTATGTCCTCTGTGAACCAGCATTTCAAAGTTCTTTTGAACTTTTAGGAGTTCAGACTAACCCATACTGCCAATTCACATATTGAGTGTTACAGCATGAACCATTCATTAGTACATTAAGCTACCTTAGAAAGGAGGTCCCATGACATATGTATCAAAGTATTTGCTTAAGGCTGGACAGCTGGTAAAGCACAGCACACTAATCCCTTGTCTAGACAGATATTCCATGATACATAAGAAAAGGAAAAAAATAATACATAAAAACCAAAATATCAGTTAAATGTAGTATAATGCTTGACAAGGGGTGAATTAGAGCTGCGTGGGAGAAGTGAAGATATGCAACCGGAGTTTTATGCAATCACCTCATACCAATGAAGCTGAAGGATAAGTTCTATAAGACAACTGTGAGATCAGCTTTACTTTATGGAGGGGAATGTTGGGCGGTCAAGAAGCAACATACCTATAGGTTGAGCGTAGCTGAGATGAAGATGTTGAGATAGATGGGTGGCAAGACAAGAAGTGATAGAATTCAAAATGAATACATTCAGAAGAACTTAAGTGTTGCACCAATAGGCGATAAAATGAGAAAAAGTAGACTTAGGTCGGTTGGCCATGTGTAACGCAAACCCAGTACGGCACTCATTAAGTTGTACGAGTTCTAGTGGAAGGCTCAAAAAGGGTAAGGAGTAAGCCCAAAGGGACATGGTTGGAAGTAGTGAGAAAATATATTGGGTCTTGTAGCCTCAGTGAACCCTTGATAGAGCAGAATGACGAACAAAGATTCATGTAGCCGACTCCAAATAGTTTGGGAAAAGGCTCTAAGGATGAGGATGATGGAGTAATGAGATATACTGAAGTCCTCTTAGTATGATAATTGTTTCCATAAAACTTGAAGTGTCTTTATGTTTGTAGAAAAACAAAATGTATTTGAAAAGAAAGAATGGATGATGCAAACATTACAAGGAAACCCAATTTGCTCATCTTTAACCATGAAATAACTAATAGCAAATCACAAAGTAAATATTGGGGAGCAATTGCATTTATTGTTTTTTCAGACAATACTAGCCAGTGTTTTTTGACTCGGTCAAGTCCATTCGAACTCGAAGGAGTAACTCGCCCTCCCCCCATTGGTGAGGCAAGTTGGGGTGAGTTGGGTGGCCTACTCGCCAGGCACCAAAGATATGCTAAAAATAAAAATAAAGTTCAGAAATGTTTAAAAAAATTGGAAAACACCAAGATATTATTTGGATCAAAGTCTTTAGATGATTTTGATAGTTTCTAAGATGATTTGGGAACTTTCACAAAAAAAATTTCCTTTTTTTAATTTTACTGAAATATTCAAGATATAAATTAAACTTTTCAATAATACATCTTCTATAATTTTTTTCATCTTATTTAGTCTTCCAATGAATGGCATTACCCGTTTTAATTTTTTGTACTTTAAATTTGTTTTTTACAAACTTTCTACTCTTTTTTTTACCTTCTTACATTTTTCTGTTTAGGGTGTACACAACTCGGCCAAGTCCACTAGGACTAGGGCACTAGGCCGAGTTACTGGCTTCGGCCAAGGGCCAAGTACATTCGCCAAGGCGATCTTTAAAACTTGATACGAACAATTTGCATGCAAGGATTTAAATTACAAGAGGGGAGCGGAGCAGGCTCAAATTGCATAACATGGTAAACCTGAGAAATTCGAAAACCATCTCCGTTATATAAAAGTATGGTGATACCATGCACATCAGGATCGGCATTAAACTCATGAACTTTCCTAATCACTTCCTCTTCAGATACATCTTCTGGAAGGTCCGTATCAAAGGACTTAATACCAACTTCTGCACAAGCTTTTCTCTTCATTTTCACATAACTTTGTGAATCTTTTCTGTTGCCTACAATGACAACTGCCAGCCCAGGAACCTGCAAGAAAAAAATTTGACAATTTACATTAGGAATTTGATGGCACACTACAAAGATTAATACTAAGAAACATAATTTTGATGACACCCAACATCTCAACTCCACACACCATAGAAATAGAATGCAAAGGCACCATTTTTTAAGCAAAAACACTATTTCACATGCATTACTAACTGAAGCAAGCAAAAAGGTGTTCATAGCTGACTGCTGACAAATGAGTGACAATTCAAAGGAAGTTAAACTACGCCTTAATGCCCTGTTTCAGCATATGAATAAAAGAGAGTAAAACAATTTCTACTATAGAATAAATCCCATTACGATTCAAAGCTTATGCAAAGCTCACAGTGTGTGCCCTTTTATGAGGAATTATATTCTCCTTTTATGACTATAGTGAATAAATCCAGCCTTAACTAATTTGCAAGAGCATATGGCACACTAACAAATACATAGAGCTTCCCTGAATAAAATGATGAACATCAATATTCAATACGCATCTAATGATCCCGTAAAATATCCGACTTTTGGATTTGAATAGCACTCCTTCTATTACAAAATAACGGAGCAGACCATTAGAAATCAATGAAACCCAAGTAGAAAGGACTTGAGACCATACATGGAGAAAGTGTGCTGCACTATGTTTGTGAAAACTCTTCACCCGATTATCTTTTTTATTTCATATAAGTAAAATGCTCAAACAATTGTCATTATTTTTTCTAATCTGATAAATCAAACCACAATAATACTCCAAAATTTGTTTCTTTTTATCCTGTTACTTGGTTATTCAAGCATCCAATAATAATTATTCACAGCCAGGGCCAAACTGCAGTCCCCCACCTTTTCACATAAACAAAATAATATTTCTAAAAAATAGGAATAACCCAGCAATCCTCGCATATCCAAGTGACCTCGAATGGTGTCATTTCACTGGTTAACAACTGTGGAGTTTCCAAAATAATAAAAAAAATGACAAACAGAAAACCAAGAATGTCCCAAAAGGGTGATTTGAAGAAAGAACCAAATCAAAATGATGGGCTATTCTCTACTTAAAAGGAAAATGCACAATCCCAAAAAAAAAAGGGTATCAGATGAAAATTGTGGGCAAATGATGAAGGATTAGTTAACCATTGCATACTAAAACATAAAATGAAGAAAAGAGTGATATGGACTTACTTTACCATACTTTTGGGATAAATAGGAAACTTCAGATGCTATTTCTTTGCGTATGGTGTTGGCGATGGCTTTTCCATCGATTAGATTGGCCTCTTGTTTTTGCTCAGACGCCATTACAGCTTCTTCAACTCTCTCTCTCTCTCTCTCTCTCTCTC